AAATATACCACAAGATGTTAACAATTGGGGAAACCTGGATGAGGATTATATGGGAACTCTGTACTGTGTTAGAAAATTTTCTGTAAATCTAAAATAGTTTAAAAATGGAAACTTTCTTAGTAAATCCAGACCCCAACCACTTTTTAACACCCTCACTACTATCACTTTGATCCAAGTCACCATCATCTCTAGCATGGATTGTTAATTGTGATAGCATTCTAAGTAGTCTAGTTGTCTCCCTTCTTTTACCCTCCCTGCCCTCTCTCCCCCACCTCAGTTTATTCTTAATATAGTAGTCAGAATGAGCCTTTAAAAGTAAGTCACAGGGACTTCCCTGGTAGTCCACTGGTTAAGACTCGGTGCTCCCAATGCAGGGGACACGGGTTCGATCCCTGGTCAGGGAACTAAGATCCCGCATGCGTGGCCTAAAAAATAAATAAATAAATAAATAAATTCTTCTCAGTTAAAAAAAAAAAAAAAGTAAGTCACATTATATCACTCCCTGTTCAGAACCCAACCCGCAGAGGGCTTCCCTATCTTATTCATAATCAGAACTACAAAGTCCTACATATATGATCTAGCTCTCAGCTCCCTCTCTGATCTTATCTTCCACTGTTTTGCCGCTAACTCCTTTAACATCAGGCCCTCCTTATTTTTCCTCAAATCAGCTGATTATGTACTTTGCCCTTTGTACCTCAGATAGCTATGTGATTTGCTTCCTTACTCCTTTCATCTCCTTCCACCCTGCTCTCTCTTACTCTGATTTAATTTTCTCCAGAGACTTCCCTCTACCAGACAGTACGTAAAAATATACTCATTGGGACTTCCCACGCCGTCCAGTGGTTAAGACTCTGTGCCTCCACTGCAGGGGGCGCAGGTTCGATCCCTGGTTGGGGAACTAAGATCCTGCATGCCACGTGGCACGGCCAAAAAAAAGATACTGTTGTTTCTTGTCTTATTCCAGCTAGAATGCAAACTCCATGACCAGTGTATCACCAGTGCCTAGACTAGTGTACCCAGCAAATAGTAGGCACTCAATATTTAATGAGTGAATGAAATAGTAACTCTTTAATGAAGTTACTTATTTTCACTGTTACACTTATAAAACATGATGTAGCATAATTATAGCATGCGATTTATTGGAAGGCACAGTAACTTTGGGGATATTTCAAGGTCATTTTAGAAGAAAAACAGTAAAACAAAACAAAATAAGGTTGGGAGGGCACCTAGAAAGCAGTGTTATTGAGCCAAATAGGAATTATTAAATCTCTGATGGTACACTTTATGTCTCCAAGTTCAGTTGTAAGCTGGAGCATGTTTTTTCCATAGAAAAAATGTCATACACTGGGGTTGATGATGGTGACCATATAAAGTACCATACAAACAGGATACTTTAGAGAGTGAAAATAAGTGGAACGAATAACTGCACCTGGACAGCTGGCCCTGGGCAAACCTAAGGCTGTCTTTGGCAAACCCAGGTCTCCTTCATTATAACTCAAAGATGCCTTTACCCTAACCTACGTGAAAGGGCATCCTGAGCTCTAAGGGGGCTTGGGACTCTGGAAACAAACTCCTGCTGGTAGAAAATATGAGTTGTAAAGTCATGCCACATTTTGTTTCATCTCTCCCCTTTCCTTTCCAGGATACTCTACTCGTCACTTTAGCACTGAGGGGAGGAAATCTTTCCCCTCCACTATTCTAGAATTTAAAATAAATTTCAGTTTTCCCTGCACTATCCATCCACTTGCCTACATCCCCGCTTCATCCTCCTCCTTACTAGTCCCAGTAATTAAAGAAAAAAAGTTGAGCTTTGATGATAGGTCTCCCCCTGTTTATATAAAACGGAGTTTCAGTGAAGTACTAAGAAATTTTATGAGTTAACAAATGATTGGAGTAATAGTAGTGGTTTACTAAAGTACATCTATTGCAACATTCTGAACTTGTGCTATGAGGTAACTATTTTGCAGTTATCTTGATTCTTACTTTTGCACAATGTGTTCTTGAAAACTCATCTTGTCAAATGTTCCTCTGAATACCCACAAGATAAATCACAAATATATAAAAGATTGATGATTAATTGTAATCAAAATCAACTTAATTTTACATAATTGATTTTCCATTAAGTGGTTATTTGCACTGAATATCCTTTAAGATCATTGTTTTCTATTTTAGTGTCTATAAAATAAGAAGTTTCTTCACTGTGTTCAGCTCTTTCAGAAAAAAGCAAATTGGTATAAGCATAAGACACTTAAGAAAACATACCTTAAGGTTTAATTTCCTTAAAATTAGCACTTACATAAGTTAGCGTAGGGGGTAGAGGGATGGGGGTGTAGCCTCTAAAAAGTATTTGAGTTGCACAAAACCAGGGATACTTTGAGATAATATTCTCCCCAGGTTTAGACAGCTTCGGTTTGTAAAACAAACTTGTTTAGATGGCAAAAATATGAGTCCATTTTGGTTCAGTGTGCTAGTTTCTCAACTGACTTCTGTTATTTTTGGCACTATTACCATTCAGTTTCTTTTAGAGGAACTTCTAAGTTAATTGTACTCAGTGGTGTCTTAGTAGGGTGTGTGTGTTTGAATTTGTGGAAATACTTGACAGTATTTCCCTTCAGCAGTGTTTTCTGGTGCAAATACCGGTGTGTTGTTCATCTAAAGTATATGGATGCTAATTTCTCCTATCAACTCTCTTACCCGTTTCTCTTTCTCTCTCATTCTCCTTCCCATTCAGTCTCTCACTCTCCCGTCCCTTCTATCCCCATACTGTAAAGGCTCTGAAAACTAGGAATTGCCCTCATTAAATATGACCTATATTGTGATTTAAGACCAGGAGCCACTGCTCAGAAGGAGGCCTAGAATGAATTCTGTGAGTACATGTTTGTAGGGTAAACATCATGGGCGTAATTCATAGTGAAATCATCCTGAGGATTTATGCAGTTCTTTAACTGTTTCATGTATCACTGCAAGGTTACCGTGAGATTTTGCCTCGTCATCTTGTGTTAGCATTGTGTTGGTATTTAAGTTTGGACTAAGTGGCCATTTTTTTGATTGGAAAATTGAGCCATGGTGTATTGTTCTTCTAAATAGGTAGACAATGAACTGTCAGAAGGTTAAATTTGAGGAAAACTTGACACGCTGTTCCTGAATAGCATGGTATTTGTCAGGGATTAGTGTGTGTTGTTTCAATCCCCATGGAACAAAACTTACAGTCTCTTTTCCCTTCTTCCTTTTCACTTCAGCTTTAGATCTCTAGACTTGAAGTACCTGATAGTTCAGAGAGATATGTTTTTATCCTCCTGACTGACTGAATATCCCCTTTATATAGGAGTGAACCATTATAGAACTATTTTTTTCCCTCCAAGTCTATGGTTTTCTTTGTCTTATAACATTGTCCTGGGTGTTCCAACCATGAAAACTTTTATTTACCAGAGAACACGTCCTTTTTGGGACAAATTCTTTTGTGGTTTGGATATGCTTCTCTTTTTCCTTTATAAAGAATTTCAAATTCCTTTCATAAAACCTGTTTCCAAAGAGGTTAAATGATTGATGGGCCAGGAAGGGGAATTCAGACTTAATACCCTCTGACGTCTACACTGCCTGTGCATTTTGTTTGACGTACAACATTCACTTAAATATTTTGTCCATGATACAAAGCTGACTCATAAGAAAGGTTAGTTGTCAGTATAGTTTTATCAAAACAGATTATACAGCACCAATCCCAAATAAGTTACTTTATTAATCTTTTATTTTTCTGGGTATTGAACTAAATTGGATCAAACAGTACCTGAGCTGTATTTCATTCAAATAACTCCAAAGGGTCTATTTCTGTTAAATGTTTTAGCTGTCCACAGTTAGTAGGTGTGCTTGCCTGACTTCCTGAAGAAGGGTACATTCTATTTAATCTGCAAGATTGCTAAGAGTCAGAAGGGGTATTGATTTAGGTGATATACTGTGTTTTCACAGCAGTAGAAAAAGTCCTCATGTTTTACATCCACAGGAAGTGCAGCAAATTGTTGATTAATTGAAGATGACATGGCTTTTGAAAAAGAAATTTTAAAAAATACTGTATGTGTTGAAGGTTGCCTGTGGAAGAACTTCATGACAATTAGAACTGTTGAGAAATGAAATGAGTTCTCTCATAAGAGGAAGGTGTTGTATCCTTCACTTTCAGACACCATTCTCAATGAAGCTAGGAACTCCTACCCAACATAGGAGTTTGAATGAGAGAACTTCTGAGGCCTGTCAAGACACTCAAAAGCTCATAATTGTGTTGATTCTACTTGGAGAGGGATCAGAGGAGGCACACAACATGTTCTGTAGCAGAGAGCTGTCTATAAGACTGTTAGTGGATTTAAGAATAGGTACTCTGAGATATTTGAAGGTGCTTGAAGATGGTTTCCTTTGTTTAGTAGCTCTAACTTTTTTAACATCCTAAGAAATCCAGCCTTACTTAATAGCTAAACAGTTAATTTCAGCTGGACTTTTAAAAAAAGCTATCAATGTGAAAGCAATGGGCCTAAATTAATAAAGTATTGTACAGTACTTAAGTTCAGTTCCTTTATTGAAGGCAGTAGAGCAGAGTGGTAAAGAGGGCTGGGCCTGGAATCAGAATGCCCGGGTTTGAATTCTTTGGCAACTTAATGAACTTATTCCCCATTTCTAAAATGAAGTCAATAATAGTACCTATTTCATAGGACTGTTTGAGGGTTAAGTGAGGTAATGCATGTAAAATTAGCACAACTAAAGTTAATCAATAAAAGGTTGTTACTGAGCCAGAGGTTTAGGGCAAATAGTTTTGCTTATTTCAAGGAATAACTCTAAATCAAGAAAGGACATAAAGTTTCTAGAAGATTCATTACTATGTACATCATTTTAATTCTGATTAAAAGGAAAAGAGACTGGCTGATTTTGGTCAATCTATGCTAGTTGTCTGTTGCCACACAGATATTTTCTAAAGTTTTAATGCATGTATTTAAAAAATTTGACTTCTTGTACCTTAGGCCTTTGTCTCCACTGAGAGCTTAATGAGTCATGGTTTGAAAGTGCAGATCCTGGTGGAAACCAGAGGGCCTGAATGGGTCAGAGCTTTAAAAAAATTGCAGGTACTTCTTCTTCTTTTTTTTTTAATGTTTTATTTATTTTATTTCATTTATTTTTGGATGCATTGGGCCTTCATTGCTGTGCATGGGCTTTCTTCTAGTTGTGGCGAGTGGGGGCTGCTCTTCGTTGAGGTGCGCAGGCTTCTCATTGCTGTGGCTTCTCTTGTTGTGGAGCATGGGCTCTAGATGCACGGGCTTAAGTAGTTGTGGCACACGGGTTCAGTAGTTGTGGCTCTTGGGCTCTAGAGTGCAGGCTTAGTAGTTGTGGCGCACAGGCTTAGTTGCTCTGCGGCATGTGGGATCTTCCTGGACCAGGGCTCGAACCCATTTCCCCTGCATTGGCAGGTGGATTCTCTTCCCACCGTGCCACCAGGGAAGCCCCTGAAGGTACTTCCAATCCCAATTTTAGAACTCCCTGTGGCCCTCTTATCTGTCATTATAGAACAGTTTCAGGGATTCTAAACTCAGAAGAGTCTCTCAGCAAGAGATTTGTTGTTACAGATTTTAAGTTCACATCAGAATGCCTTTTGAAACTGCTGATATATTAAGTGCACAGATGCAGAATAGTGCCTGTAACATTCTAGTATGCATGATCAGTTGGCTGAAAGAGTCTCTATTTCCAGGATAAATGAACAGGTGGCCAGAAGAGCAATTAGAGAGTATTTCCACAGGGAATGTCCAGAGTTAGCATTCTGCCAGATGTTACCTGTAACAACAGTGGCTAAGGTCCGCATTGGTTTTCCAGTTCCTGGAATGCTTTCACATGGCATACCTCTGTTGGTTAGCTTCTCACTACTAGCCTTCCCAATAAGGTGGTGGATAGGAATTACTGTTGTATTCGTAGGAACTGGAGGTGGTTGGTGAGGTTGGAGATGACAAATGGTGGTCTATGAATTTTCCTGTTTATTTTCATATAGCCTATTAGATTCAGGGAGCCCCACTCAGTGACTCAAGTCTTTATCTGCACTAGATCATATAATGTAATGTTCTCAACAAATCAATGATGTGTAAGTAATGTTCTCCAAGTTCTGCACATGAGGAAAATTGAGCGCTGGAGAGGTTAAATATCGGTTGAATCTTTGAAAATTACTGATATCTGATAATCTTTCATTGACAAAAACAGAACTTTCACATGGTTCAATCTAATAATTTTCAATGATACTAAATAGGCATGTTTGTATAGCTCTGTTCTGATTTATTTTATGTTGATTTTTGTCATTTGACCCTTAGAACACTATCTTATTTTCATTCATTTTTAGTTTCTTTTGAGGGTACCTTCCTATTGGCACCGTGTTTTACCTGATAGTTTTTATTTTCTTTCATCAGATGAGGAGCCTGAGCATCAGAGAGGTTAAGTGATTTGTCTAAAACGCACAAGTTATATAACAGGTAAATCTCTATCCTCCAAACCTCTTTTCCCTGTATGCCACATCAGTGGACAAAATGGTTAGAGGACTTTGGAGCCATGAGGTATTAAGAATGGTTGCAGAGGAACTGTAGATATTTAACTTGGCTGAGAAAATACTTAGGAAAGGAAAATAGCATTGACTTTTGAGTCATACAGACCTGGATTAAAACCCATCTCATTATTTATTAGGTATGTGATCTTGAACAAGTTTCTTAAACTCTCTAAGTTTTTTCATCTGCCAAATGGGGCTATCGATACCTAAATCCTAGAATTATTGAAAGAAATAAGTAAGATTACATTTATGAAGTACCTGTTATTGCTTGACATGTAAGAGTTTCTCCACAAATTATTTCCCTTTCATACCACACTTCTTCAGAAGAGAGAAAATGCATCTTATTTATTTATTTATTTATTTATTTATATTATTGTGGAAAGTCACGTCAGCTATTGTATGGATGTTAAAATATGGCAGATTTCGTCACAATCTTTTAGAGAGATTTCGGTTAAAAGTTATACTACCACTACCACTACTTGTGTCCAAATTAAAGTCCCCTTTGTTATAAAGGGGATTTTTGGTTCAGTAATGGTTAGTCCAGTTGACCTCCAAAAACTTTCCTAGTTTTTTGGAGAGGTAGCCATGAGCTAAAAGAGCAAAAGGCCAACACTTGTCATGTTGTCATCATAAACATCAAAATATTCTGGAACATTCAAAATTTTAATATATTTCTAAGATTGCTTTCTTCCCATAAATCTCGACTATCTAGCTCCCATTGTGAAAAGCATAAGTGGATGAAATCTTGTTCCCTGTGAATGTTTTTACATACTACTGTATTTAATTTTTCAAAAGAATGTTTAGGTTAAAGCATGTGCAAACTTGAATGTAAGTAACTTGTATGGTTGTTTTATTTTCATGATTCTTTGAAAATCCTCAGCGCCATTTGTCTTCTGTTTTTTTTTTGACCTAGACATGTTCTAGGAAGTTTAGTAAGTTATGTGTAACTGTAGTTCTTTAAATTTATGTAATGCTTTTGGGTATAGACAGCACAGGTAGAATTTCATTTTAGTGACCAGATGAGATTTCATGTTATATCTAAATCTCAGTCACAGTCTGTTGTTACAGCATACATACACTGGGTTTCTAAAATATTTGTATAAAGCAAACTTGTGCTAGGTATTTATTGTGTTACTAACGATGAAGGGGGCGTTGGCTGTTGGCTATGCATGGTTGATTTGGAGGAGGGGCGAAGTGCCTTCTGAAGGTAAATTTACATTGTCCACATTTGATTTGTAAAAGGCATACAGTTGATGATCTGGACTCAGGGTCCTGGGTGGACATAAACATTGCCACAGGAATCCTGTGGAAGATACCTGTATAACTCCCTGCCTTGGAGAGTTTTGTCTTGATAGCTGGAAAATAGAAAAATGCAGTTCCCATTTGATTTACCATTTGTTGTAGCTTTCCAAATTTGGCAGAGTTCATTTGATCATTTGAAGTGAAACAGTCTAGCCCAAGGAAAATAAATTTCACATCCAGGAAGTTTATTAAGGCACTGCCAGATGATGCTAGCTAATGTTTCTTTTTCTTTACCTTGCTTCTATTTGTACCTTGGTGATTCCTTTTTCACTTCTTCCCTCCCTCTTCTTCTCCTCCCTTCCTGTCCTCCTTTATTTCAGAAAAAGGAAGATATTTAATGGAAAGCTTTTTTTTTTCTCGTTCTCTCTACTTTTTGTTTGAAAATAATTTCTAAGGTAAAATACCAGTTTTGGCTGTTTTTGAACCTCCATGTTATTCAGAATTAGGCATATTGGATTCGTATATAGGACAAGAAATTGTTTTATGAGACAGTGTAATTTTCCAACTTCAGATATGGAAAAGTTTAAAAGCAAAAAAATGAAGAGGTGGATTGGGCAGAAATTCGTGTTTGTTTGTTTGTTACTCCCTGGAAGACAGATGCACTGATACATTCTCTCATAAAGAGCGAGTTGTCTCAGTACTTCATATTGCATGTCAAACTTTTCTATAAATTGCTATGTGGATATAGATGTATATCACACGACTGCTACAGAAAGTTTTTTTTATGCTTTTTTACTACTTTCTCTTGGTCAGCTCCTATTTCACTGGAGAATGAGCTCTACACTGATTCTCTTTTCTTGCTTTCTTCCCCTAATGTGATATTTCAGTTTTCCTTTTGGAATGAAATTATTGATTACTTGAAAATCATTCTCCCTTTTTTCCAGAGTAGCTCCTCAAGTCTTATGACAAAGCTTCCTCTAATGTCTCACTTCATTTTTTTTTTCTGATGAAGGTCTTCATTTGGCACACTGTTACAAAGGGATTCTCTATCTTGAGGACTGGGTAAATACTTGCCTTTCTTTGTCAGTTGGTTGCCAAGCTATGTTTTAGTGCAAAAAACTTGGGGGTTGTTGACAAACACTTGTTTTTTCATCCTAATTCAAAAACTTCATAGGTCTGTGAACTTGGGCAAATCACTTAACTGCTCTAACTTCAGTTTACTGACTTATAAAGCGAGGAGAGCCTCTAAATAGAACTGAAATACTTTTGCTTTTATTATAGCTTTCATAGAGTTCCATGTTCAGCATTAACTGGAATTAAGGATAGAAAAAATTTTTCCCATTAGAATTTTCTAAGTCTTCTAAACACTGAGTTTAATTAATTTGCTGTATTCTTCCAAAGATAAACAGCTTCCTATTTATATGAACAACATTTAGCTTATACTCTAGCTTGGATTCCTCTTCAAATACCTGTGAAGGAACCATATTCATAAATAATATAATCTTCCTAAAATAATAACTTCTACTTCACTCCTACTGATGAAAGATCATGTAATAAGAATTACAGTAGGCTTTAGAAGCACATGGTTATGTAACATTTGGCTGGCTGTTTGATACAGAGACATGGTGAATTACAAAAAAGATAAACAAAATCCTTTACTTTCCCCTGTTTTTATTATTGAGTTATGACAGTAAAATAGGTAACCGTGACCACCTCCTAATGTTACCACTCTTGCCAGCTCTGGATAGGTGACAGGCAGGAACAGATAAAGAATCATCACTGTCTCTGCACGTAATACTTGTTAATAAAAAAAATTGATTTTGCCTTCTATTGGGGTCATTCTGACCTGGCTTCATCAAATTAGCCTTGTCAGAATGTTCCTTATTTCAAGGTTACCATATCAAAATGTTTTGTTGTGGCTTACACATGTCAAGACCAAGATTTTACGGGTATAATTGCATACTTTTCCAACTTTGACATGTTGTCCAAAAAATATGTGCTAGTAATTGAAGGGGATTTACTAATTTGTGGATTTTTTAAGACTAGCTTTTAAAAGCACTCTTCGTGACCAAAATACTTTCTTGGTATTAGTCAGCTCAGGCTGCCATAACAAAATATCACAGACTGGGTAGCTTAAACAACAAATTTATTTTCTCATGGTTCTGGAAGCTAGAAGTCCAAGATCAAGGTGCTGTCAGGATTGGTTTCTTTTAAGGCCTCTCTTCCAGGCTTGTGGATAGCTGCCTTCTCACTGTGTCTTCTCATGGCCTTTCCTCTGTGCTTGCATGCTGGGAAAGAAAT